GATCTTACTTGCATGTGATATTAATGATATTGTTCTATAATTTCTACATTCTGTGGGATCACCTTTCTTTGGAATGGGCACAAATATGGATCCATTAGCCATTAGAGAGATTCAAATCAAAACAACCACCTCACCCCAGCATTAATAGCAAAGTTCAACAAGACAGAAAATAACAAATGGTGGCGAGGATGTGGAGAGATTGGGACTCTCACACACTGCTGGTGGGATTGTCAAATGATACGATCACTGTGGAAAGCAGTATGGCGATTCCTTCAAAAGCTAGAATTAGAAATACCATTTGACCCAGCCATTCCATTACTAGGTATAAATCCTAAAGAAGTGAGAGCCAGGAAAAGAACAAATATATGTACACCCATGTTCATCGCAGCACTATGTACAATAGCCAAAAGATGGAAACAACCTAGGTGCCCATCAACCAAGGAATGGATAACCAAACTATGGTACATACACACAATGGAATACTACGCAACCCTAAAGAATAACTAGAATCTGCAAAACACCTCATAACGTGGATGAACTTGGAGGACATTATGCTCAGTGAAATAAGTCAATCACAGAAGGACAAATAGTGTAGGAGTCCACTATTGTAAAAGTCAAGGAAGGGTTACCCATGAAGGAGATTGCCACACTTTCTCCCCTGAAGCAGCTGGGGGATTCAAATCCCCCTGTCTGGGGGATCTCCGGCCACTTTCTTCTTGGAGCATCAATGGCGAGGGTCTCAGGCTCGCATGAACCACAACACGGAGCCCCTCCGTTTCTGCACTGGCACCTGACCTACCCCAGCTGTACCCATCACTGCTCCTCCGTTCCCACCCCTACCCCTTCACCCCCACCAGGTAAGGACCTCCTGGTTTTTTCTGACAGGACAGCTCTCCCGTCCCCGAAGACTGTGCACCCTGGCACCGGACAAGCACTCAGGGACCCAAGAACCCTACGAACAACATAAAGCCAAGACCAAACTACACAAAACAACAAGCCCATTTCCACCAAGGTGATTCCGACTCCCAGTGGGACCCTAGAAGGGAGAGCAGAAGTGCCCCCTAGGTTTCCTGTGGCTGTCAGTCTTTTGGGAAACAGAGGCCACAACTTCCTCCTGCTAAGCCATTGGTGGGTTCAAACCACCGACCTCTTGGTTAACAGCCTAGCTCTCAACCACCACGCCACCAGGGCTCTTCATGAACAACACACCTTGCTGTTGACAGATGCCCTTGAGTGGGCACAGACTCAGCGACCCTGCGAACAGCGGAACTAAACCCTGCCTGGCCCTGCGCCAGCCTCACTATCCTGGCTATGCTTGGGCCTGTCCTTGCAGGCCTGCCCTTTCTCCACCACCCTCCACTTTACCAAGCATGACATCCTTCTCCAGGGAATGGTGCCTTCTGACAACATGACCAAAGTAGGTGAGACGAAGGCTGGCCACCCTCACTTCCAAGGAGCATTCTGGCTGCACCTCCTCCATCACAGACTGGTTCCTTCTTCTGGCCTCTGGTTCTCAGTATTCTCCACACAAACAACACAGGGCACTGCAGAAACAAAGGGGAGGGGAGGCCCTCTGCCTTCCTCCGCCCCGGGCGCCTGGGCCTGGACTGGGAAGTACGGGGTGGAGGGAGGCCCCAACCCAGCAGATTGCAAGCCCACCATGGCCCGGAAGTCGCCAACAGGATGCCAAACCTCCAGGCTCACCTGGGCCTGGTCGGTGCCAGCGCCCGGGCGCTGGCACCTGGGAGCACCGAGAACAGGCCGAACCTGGAGCTGAAGCGCCCCCTAGCGGCGCAGCGCCGCAGCTCGCCCATTGTTTCCGCCGGGCGGAGATAGGGCCCGGCCCTCCGTGGGGTGACAATTTCCGCGGAGCTAAGGGGTCGGGGCCGGGGGTTGGGGGGCATCGCGCGAATATAAAGCCGGGAAACTTGAGGGGTTCACACTGCAGGGGGAGATCCGAACAGACCACTGGGGCCGTGCAGGGGCCTTGGGACTGTCGGGGGCGGGGGCTGAGTACGGCCTTTTAAGGGGAGGGGGCGCTGCAGCGGGGCGAGGTGGGAAAAGCAGGCTTAGCGCCTACCCGTCTCGGGTTCCCGCCCCCGCCCCTGCTGGCGCGGCGCGCGGGGCGCATCCCCGGGGAGCCGGAGGCCGGGGGTGGGGTGGGGGCGACGCCAGGGCCCACGTTCTCGCTTCCTAGAACCTAACGCCCCAGCCCGGGAAGGCGCAGCCTCCGGGCGGCGGGGAGGAGCCGCCCCGACCCTCCAGCAAAGCGGGGCCTCCTCCTCCCCGCGATCCGGGCGGCCGGGGCGGGGTCACCGGGGAGGGCCGGGGGCGGGGTGTGAGTGGGTGTGTGCGGGGGGCGGAGGCCTGATGCAATCCCGATAAGAAATGCGCGGGTGTCGCGGGCACCTACCGGCCGATAAGGCGCGCTACATAAGGCCGCGGTGCTCGTCGCCGCGCCGTCGGAGCGCCCGGAGC